GCCCAGCTAATTTTTTGTATTTTTAGTAGAGACGGGGTTTCACCATGTTGACCAGGATGGTCTCGATCTCTTGACCTCGTGATCCACCCGCCTCGGCCTCCCAAAGTGCTGGCATTACAGGCTTGAGCCACCGCGCCCGGCCCTCGTTATAATTTTTTAAGGAACCTTTATACTGTTTTCTATAATGATTGTACCAATTTACATTCTTTTGATAGTGGCCATCCTAATGGGGGTGCAGTGATATTTCATTGTGTTTTGGTTTATATTTTTCTTATACCTAGAGATGTTTAGCATCTTTTTATATGCTTATTGCTCATTGCTCATTTGTGTATCTTCATTGGAGAATTGCCTATTCAAGTCCTTTGCCCATTTTAAAATCGGGTTATTTGGTTTTGTCATTGTTGTTGAGTTGTCAAAGTTCCATATAAATCCAGGATATACTGCAAATCAGATCTATGATATGTAAGCATTTTTTTCTATTCTGTGGATTGCCTTTTTACTCTGTCGTTTCCTTTGATTAGCCAAAGTTTTTAAGTTTGATGTAGTCCTATTTGTCTATTTTTGCTCTTGTTATCTGTGCTTTTGGTATCATATTCAAGAAATCATTGCCACGTCCTAGAGTTTTCCCCTTTTATTTTAATAGTTTATAAAAAATTTTGGTCTCACATTTAGGTTTTTGATCAATTTTGAGTTAATTTTTATGTATGGTATAAGGTCAGGGTCCATGTTCATCTCTTGCATGTGGAAATCCAGCTTCAGACACAGTTGCCTTACTGGCCTCCAGGAACCTTCCCTTCTCTTCGGAAGAACCAGGAACCCGGGGCCTCCAGCTCACAGGGGCCCTCTCGTGACGTCTGGGTGCCTAACAGCTTAGCCAGGACCCCGCCTCAAACGCGTGGAACTACACTTCCCAGAATGCCAGCGTCCTCCCGTGGACTCCATTTCCCAGAGGACTCAGCGGCCGCTCCGCCCCTCACGGTCCCAGGCGCGCCGCGGAACGTTAGCAGCTGATTGAGCGGCGCGGGGACTAAGGTAGCTCAGACGCCGCCGGCTCGTGAGGCTGCAGCCCTTTTGGGCGATTTTGAAGCCTCAGTCCTGCGGAGCGCGGCTGGGGAGGTGCGTCCCAGGAACGCCCGAGTCTGGGGAGGTGAGCGGCGGAGGCGGGCCGGGCCTGGAGGCGGTGGCGCCGAGCGTTGGGACGCCCTGCGGCCGCCGCGGCTCCGAGAGCCTTTGTGGGCGCGGGCGGGCACCCCTGCGTCTGTCACCAGCCCCCGCGTCGGGCCTTGGACTCTCGTCCCCGGCGGACCGCTGCCGCGCAGCCGCCGGTGCCTCCTCTCGGGCTCGCCGCTGCCGGCCGTGGACGCTGGGCCAGGCGTTTCCTCCCGGGTCCGCCCTGTGCGCGCCGTGTGGGCCTCGCGGACTCGGGGCGACGAGACTCCGAGCTCAGGGCGGACGCAGCCGGGCTTCGGTTTCCGTGTCTGTCCCCATGATGGCCGCACCTCCCTATTCGGGAAACCTAACGCTTTCCTCTTCAAAGCCATTTTCTGTGGAAGTCAGGAGATGATTCCTTGGCAAGAGGCAGAGGAACCGTGTGGGAAAAGGCTTGGGGTGGAGGGAAGTCGTCCCCGGGGTCGTCGTGTTGGGAATCCCGGGCCAGCCTCGCAGGGGCGTGAACGGGGCAGGTGCCCTGGCGCTGCCTCAGTTTCCTGAGCGGTGCAGTGGGTGTTGGCAGTGCGACCTGGTGCCGAGGAACTCAGCAGCTCGGGGCGGGCCCTGGCCCTAGTGGGCTCAGCGGGTTGTTGCTGCCGCCGCGGGTCCAGCGTCCGGTCCGGAAGCCCAGAGCCCACGAGACCTGGTCCTGGACGGGCGGCCCAGCGCTGCTTGTCTGCGAGCTCCTGGCGCCTGCCTCTGAGGACGCGCGGGGTCGGGTTTCAGAACTGAGGATTCCAGGGCTGGCAAGCAGAAGGGGCTTCCTCCTGACTTCCTTTCTCTTCTCAGATCCGCTTTCTGGAGGCTGCACCACCCTCAGGGGAGAGCCCAGAAAGAGGACATGGCTGCTGGGCAGCCGGAAGCGAGGCCCCAGGTGAGCTCATTGCCGTCCCAGATCTCAGTAAATGGATTTTCCCACTAAAAGTTTCATCACCCAGGGCTCTCTTCGGCCAGGATGGAGCCCAAGTCCTTTTCCCTTGGAGTAGCTGGTCTGTCCTTAGGAGTGGTGGATTCTGTAAGGAGAACCACCCATCTTCCCCATCCATGTCTAGTGATTCTTTTTTCTTAATAAACGCACTTTGTTCACTAATTTCAATCCATTGTGGGACTAATTTGACAAGTAAGATGCTACAAGTGTGTATATCACTACGGACAGAACAAACGTGCAGCCCTTGAGAACAGTCCCTGCCTCCTTCACTCACGCACGTCTCCCTTCGTATCCTTTGCAAGAATACTTTTTCTTTTCACTCTTGAGAATCCGCGTAACATCACTCCTTCCCCAGGCTTCTCCAACGGTAGTTTTTAGTTTTTTTTCTTCCTCTTTGTAAATCATATCCTTTGCTTGTATCACTCTTGAAAACTGATGTACACTGTTTTCATTTTTGTGTAGTGGGAATGAGAAGGCCACCCTTTCTAGGTGAGAGAAGAATGAACAGAGTTGGAGAGGTCACTTGACTCCAAGGACAGAGACAAGATCCCTCAGGTAGCCTCAGGAAGGGTTTCATGGGATATCAGTAGTACAGAGGCAGCATACGTGGTGGTTAGGAAGTAGGGCTGTCAAGCCGGATGGCCGCATTTTAATCCATCTCTTTTGTTGCTGTTTGTGGGTCTTGGGCTTCACCTCTCTGTGCCTCAGTTTTCTCACCTCTAAAATGGGAATAACAACTGTGTCCACTTCCTAGCGTAGATGAGGGGCTTAAATGAGTTAGTGTATGGAAAACGTTTAGATCAGGGTTAGGCACATAGTTACTGCTCAGTATGTGGTGGTTTTGGTCGCTGAGTGACATTGTTAGTACATTAATAATGTTGATAATATAGAAACTGCTGTACAGTGTGTTTAGGACCCAGATGATGTTATCCTTTTTTCGTTTTTTTGTCTGACAATAATAATGTCCACTGAATGTCTAGCACACCAGGGAATGGGCTGAGGGCTTTACATTTGTTTTCTCACTCTCATAATAGCACAACAATTAAAATTTTTGTTTTACATGTGAGAAACCTGTTAAACTAAGGAAAGTTAAGTAACCTGAGCACATTTCAATTGTGTCGGGCTCTGAGTTCTCTGGGACCACCCAGTCGTTTCTCTGGCGTCTTTCAGAGCGTGGGCAGATCCAGCCACGTGATACCAGAGCTCATCTTCGATGTGGCATTATCTTTTAGACCAAGGGAACACAGTGGAGTTTGATCTGAGGGTGTGGACAGAATGAGCATTATGCATTTGAGCTACTGTTTGTCCTTCAAGGCATTCCTGTTCCCTTCCAACAGAGCCAAGCTGCTCTCCTGACCAGAACCTGCTGCATCCCTATGTTTGAGTGAATCTCTGTAGCATCCTTCCTGTCTGCCCTTGCTGCCCATGCATCAGTACTGTGTAGACATGTGTGTAAAATTCAGTGAAGGGAATTCTAAGACCAGAGAAAGTACAAAGTTCACAGTTAGAAAACTGGAGTTAGGATCCTGCCACATGCTATGACATGTGCCATGTCATAGCAAAGCACATGACCTGGGACTTGGCTGCCTTGGACCTTGTGTTCTCATCTCAGGGCCCTTTCCAGCCACACAGTTTTTCATTGCTCAGATTATTTCATGCATTTTCTAGTCTGCCAGTCAGATTATGCATTCTTTCCTTAAAAAAAACATCATTTCTTGTACTCTTACCCATTCTACAAATAATTTGTTACTCTTGCTCACCATAAAAATATCGCAGGGTCATGGTGTTAATTTTAGAGAATAAAACATTTGCATATATATGTAGGTATATAACTGTGTTTATGGATATGTGTATATATACATGCACATATGTATGTGTATGTTTATGTAGACGTGCATTGCATAATGATGTTTTGGTCAATGAAAGACCATAAATGTGGCAGTAGTTGCTTAAGATTAAAATGTAGCTGGGTGTGGTGGCTCACACCTGTAATCCCAGCACTGTGGGAGGCCGAGGTGGGTGGATCACCTGAGGTCAGGAATTTGAGACTAGCCTGACCAACATGGTGAAACCCTGTCTCTACTAAAAATACAAAAATTAGCTGGGTATTGTGGCAGGTGCCTGTAATCCCAGCTACTCGGGAAGCTGAAGCAGGAGAATGGCTAGGACCCAGGAGGCAGAAGTTGCTGTGAGCCGAGATTGCGCCATTCCACTCCAGCCTGGGCAACAGAGCAAGATGTCCTCTGGAAAAAAAAAAAAAAACAAAAAACTGAAAAATTCGTTTCTTATTGACTTAATAGCCATTGTAACATTGTAGTGCAAGGCTTTGCTCCTATTTTGTGGTGATTTTGGTCTAAACAGGCCTACCCTGCAGCCTGCCAGTCCTATAAAAGTATACAACATATGCAATTATGTATAGTTCATAATACTTGATAATATCTGACTGTGTTGCTGGTTTATGTATTTATTATACTATTCTTGATACTTTACAGTGTCTTCCTTTTGCGTATTTTTTTAAACATTAACTGTAACAGCCTCAGGCAGGTTCTTTGGGGGTACCCAGAAGAAAGCTTTGTTTCCAAAGGAGATGACAGCTGCATGTGTATCATTGCCCCTGAAGACCTTCCAGTGGGACAGGACGTAGAGGTGTAAGATAGTGGCGTTGATGATGCTGACCCTGTGTAGGCCTAGACTAACGTGCACATTTATGTCCTAGTTTTTTTTTTTTTTTTTTTTTTTTTTTTGAGACGGAGTTTCGCTCTTGTTACCCAGGCTGGAGTGCAATGGCGCAATCTCGGCTCACCGCAACCTCCGCCTCCTGGGTTCAGGCAATTCTCCTGCCTCAGCCTCCTGAGTAGCTGGGATTACAGGCACGCACCACCATGCCCAGCTAATTTTTTGTAGTTTTAGTAGAGACGGGGTTTCACCATGTTGACCAGGATGGTCTCGATCTCTTGACCTCGTGATCCACCCACCTCGGCCTCCCAAAGTGCTGGGATTACAGGCGTGAGCCACTGCACCCGGCCCCTATGTCCTAGTTTTTAACAAGTTTTTAAAAGTAAAAATAAAAGTTTTAAAATAGGATAAAGCTTATAGAATAAAGATGTAAAGGAAGAAAATATTTGTGTACAGCTATACAGTGTGTTTATTTTAAGGTAAGTGTTACTATAAGGAAGTCAAAGTTTGAAAAAACTAAGGAGTTTGTAAAGTAAAAGAGTTACAGTAAGCTAAGGATAATTTGTTGTTGAAAAAGAAAACTTTTAAAAAATAAATGTAGTGCCGGGCGCGGTGGCTCAAGCCTGTAATCCCAGCACTTTGGGAGGCCGAGGTGGGTGGATCACGAGGTCAAGAGATCGAGACCATCCTGGTCAACATGGTGAAACCCCGTCTCTACTAAAAATACAAAAAATGAGCTGGGCATGGAGGCGTGTGCCTGTAATCCCAGCTACTCAGGAGGCTGAGGCAGGAGAATTGCCTGAACCCAGGAGGCGGAGGTTGCGGTGAGCCGAGATCGCGCCATTGCACTCCAGCCTGGGTAACAAGAGCGAAACTCCGTCTCAAAAAAAAAAAAATAAATAAATAAATAAATGTAGTGTAGCCTAAGTGTACAATGTTTAAAACATCTAGTCATGCACAGTAATGTCCTAAGTTTCCCATTCACTCACCACTCAGGCAACTTCCAGTCCTGCTCCATTCATGGCAAATACTCTGTCCAGGTATACCATTTCTTATTTTTTATACTATATTTTACCATACCTTTTCTGTGTTGTAATATATTTATATACACAGACACTTAGAATTGTTTTACAGTTTCCTATAGCATTCAGTAGGGTAACATGCTGTACAGGTTTATAGCCTAGGAGCAATAGGCTGTACCATATAGCATGGGTATGTAGGTGGCCGTATCATCCAGGTTTGTCTCTTATATCCCATAGTAAGGAAATGGCTTAACAATGCATTTCTCAGAATGTACCTCCATCGTTAATGCAACACATGAATGTATACTATGTGTGTATTTCATATACACAATAGAAAATAAAACCACCCTTAACCCCACCATCTGGAGATAATCACTGTCATTCAGTTTATTGTATATCTCAATAATTTTCTGTGTATATTGAAATTTTTTTTGAAGGGGGACAAATTAAACAGTGATATATATATAACCTGCTTTTTGTGCTTAGCATTTTCATGGATGTCTTTTTATGTTAACAAATAGCAATTTATACCACCAGCTCTAATGATGGTGTATTTGTATTAATGTGATAATAGTTAACATTTGAACCTTTAATGTGAGCCTGTTATGGTTTTAAGTGCATTGTGTGGATTATCTTATTTATTAACTATTAGGTAGATTTTGAGAGGCAGTTTTAGAGTACTTCCAAATGGAGCCTAGGACATCTGCCTGGATTGGAATCCCAGCTATACCACCGAACAGCTGTGTGACTTTAGACAAATTTCTTAGCCTCTCAATGACTTTATTTCTCTTTAAATGGGAACAATAACTATCTTCTTCATAGGGTAATTGTGAAGGTTACATGAAGTATATACTAATGATTAATATAAAGCTTTAAAAATAGTATCTGTCCCATGTAAAGCATTCAGTAAAATAGATTTATTCGGATTTTCATCATTACTATCTTCAAGCTTGAATGAGCACACAGGTAGTGCCATACATTATTTAACCTAGCCTATATCAGTGAATATGTAGGTTATTTCCAGTTTTTTTGCTACTAACACCATGATAAGTATCCTTGTGCTTATATATTTTGTGCCCTGTTCCTAACAGTAATCGGTGAGTTAAAGATTATACACAGTTCTAAGTTTTTAAATATGTATTATCAAATTGCCAATGAAAGAAAAAGTAATTAACACTCCCACTAATGGCCTTAATCCCTCTACCCATCCCTTACAGTGGCTGGAAAAGGCCTGGCTCTCACTGTGTGCTGCTCAGTATATCTTTGTTACTGGCCAATCGTTGATTAAATGAATGACATGGAACCTTCAGAAGCTTGAATAGTATCAGAAGCATTTCTTGGGTAGCTTGTCTTCCCCACTGCTGCCCTCTCCACTCTGAGGGTGGTCTTGGGTGAGCTGGAATGGCTTGTCCTTACAGGTGTCACTGACGTTCGAGGATGTGGCTGTGCTCTTTACCCGGGATGAGTGGAGGAAGCTGGCTCCTTCTCAGAGAAACTTATACCGGGATGTGATGCTGGAGAACTATAGGAACCTGGTCTCACTGGGTAAGGAAATTTCCCCTTTAGAAACAGAATTCAAAAATTGTGATATCTTGGGCCAGGCACCATGGCTCACGCCTATAAGCCCAGCACTTTGGGAGGTCAAGGCGGGTAGATCCCGAGGTCAGGTGTTTGAGACCAGCCTGACCAACATAGTGAAACCCCATCTCTAGTAAAAATACAAAAATTAGCTGGGCACAGTGGCAGGCGCCGGTAATCCCACCTTCTCGGGAGGCTGAGGCAGGAGAATTGCTTGAACCCGAGAGGCGGATGTTGGAGTGAGCCAAGATCGTGCCGCTGTACTCCAGCCTGGGGGGCAGAGTGAGGTTCCATCTCAAAAAACAAACAAAAAAATTGGGATATCTCAGCATTTCCTTGTCTGAATAAAAGCTGTGGGTCACCAAAAAACTTGAGCTGAGTTTAAGGATTATACAAATCAGGTCTCTATAAATAAACATTGAAAACCTTCTTCCTCCTAATAAGTGTGGAATTGCTTCACGTATTGACAAGTGGGTATTGATAAGTGGGTATTGATAATTATCCCCTTCCCACTACACAGTTTCACATTAGAAATTCTCTCATAGTTCAGGCAACATTTTTCCGCTTTGGTTGTTCTGTGGTTTGTTTGTTCATCTCAGCAGAGGGCTTACCTCATCCTTCATCGACCTACCATCGCCTTTCGCACTTCTCTTTTCCATCCAGGTGAATGTTGTAAAATCCACCTTCAAAAGGGAATCATACGATGTTTTCTCATTTTAAAAAAGTTACTTGATACATCATGCCATAGATTCCTGTTCATAAATTTTAATTCATCCATACATACAACAACATTCCTTCTGTAAAAAAGTCACAGTACTCTAGTAATCAAGGCATACTTTGTTGTGTCAAAACAAGACCAAGACTTTTTTTTTTTGTCTATGTGCAGGACTCCCATTTACCAAACCAAAAGTGATCTCCCTGTTGCAGCAAGGAGAAGATCCCTGGAAGGTGGAGAAAGACTGTTCTGGCAGCTCCTTTCTAGGTAAGTAGGTAGCTGCAGACAAGGGTCTGGTTAATGAGAGGAGGCACAACCTGGAAATATTTGTTGGAAAGCTCCTTTGAGGTTTCTCAGAACTCAAAAAGTGGTGGGGAAGGAGGAGCCCGGGCTTGTAGACATGAGCTTCCGCTTATTCCCTTGTAATCACTTCACCATGAATCTCTCAGAGTCTCTTTTCTTACCCTTTCCTGTTGTTTCAGGAGAGGGCTGTTTTTTTTCATGTATTCATTGAGCAAACATAGACTGTTTAAGGAATTTCAAATAATTCACTCTGGCTGAGCTCAGGGTGTGTATTTGGGAAAAGGAGGAAGTAAGGAAGGAAGTAGCCTAGAAAGCTAGGAAAGGGCCATGTGGTGAGTGCTTTGGCACAGTTCTGAGAGGTGGAAACTGTCCCATGGAGCCCTGGAAATCATTGAAGGAGTTGGGCAGGGAATCATATGGTCCTTGGTATCTTAGAAAAATTGGTCTGAATTAGAAACAGTTGAGTCTTCATCAGTGTAAGAATAGCTAAGGGACCTGTGGTGTGTCCTTTCTCTGGCGAACATTGCCACACTGAAAACAAGAGCCCACGGACATGGATAGAGCTCCCAGCAAGACAGAGCATTGTTAGGATGTCACCATTTATGTTTAATGAAAATTATGTGCATGTGTAATGTGTATGTAAGCCCAGAGAGAATGTTTAGGAGGATACACCATAGCTGATGGTGACATTAGTTAGACTTGGAATAAGATTGAGAATGGATCCCACAAAAAGGGGACGTTATTTACGTATAGTATTTTAATTTTTCACAAAGAGAATATATTCATGACGTTCTATGTGATTCAAGTTTAATACAGATGGTGACTTTGGGAGCATTGTGATTGAAAGTGAGGCAAAACTAGAGGCGGGAAGCCTTGCAGAGCGATTGCAGTCATGGAGGGTGGCAGGCAGGAGGTGGAAGGGTCTGGACAAAGGCGCTTGCTGTGAGTTCATGAGGGAAGAGGAGGCGCCTGCGTGATCAGGGTACAGGAGGAGTCGGATGTGGGCTGGATTTCACTTGAGATGCAAGTGAAGTAATCAGATGGAGATCGCTGGTGGGCAGGTGTATAAGTGACAGGGCCGAGATTCAAGGGAGGTCAAGGAGCCATCAGCACAACAGGGGCATTGGAAGCCTGGACCAGGCTGGGTGAGGGGGCCAACCAGAGGCCTGAATCCAGGAAACAGCATTTGTGAGGCACTTAAGCAGGAGGAATCTGTGACAGAGCCTGAGGAAATGGGGAGGGGCCATTGTGGCAGTAGGGGACTGAGAGGTGTTGAACTGGGGTGCTCCGGCTCTGGGGGATCTAGGTTGAACCCTCAACCACAGCTTTGCTGTCCCTTGGTCAGTGATGAGCAAGCTGTGCTGAGTGCTGCTGGTATAGAATTGGGCAGAAAGAGATGCAGTTCTCGCGCTTCTGGAGTGCACGATCTAGCGAGGGAACAAGGTGAACACACTCACATGAGGACCATATGGGAAAGACACTTGGTGCTGTGAGAGTACAGAGCAGGCAGGGCGGTGTCAGCAAAGGCTTCCCTGAGGAAGGGCCTGAGATTCAAGGACTGAAGAATTGCTTCAGGCCTAAAGAATGGTGTTCATGAAGGTCCAAAGAAGTAAAGCCAGTGAGGAGAAGGCAGAACAGGTAGCTGAGAGAGCCACGGGCCCTGTCACAGGGTTTGATTGGTGCTTGAGAGGCAAGCACAGGCTCTGAGGAGCCATAAGTAGCCCAGGGCAGGCCCAGGCTGGGTTCTGCAGCCCCCAGCCCATGTGGAGAGTCTGATGACCACAGTGCAGGGCGTGTCAGGTCCAGAGGGCTCAGTGACAGCTTTGATCCACATAGCTACTGTTCCAGAGAGAGCTTTCTTGTGATGGTGGCTTGAACTTTTCATTTATAGGGGAATTACACCTGTGTTTTTACTCCCCTTTGAGAGAAATACACTAATTTTATATTAAATTAAAATTTAATAAACTGCCAGAGGCCACCACAAAGAAAGCAGAATGCAAGCAGCAGGGAACCAGGTGAGATTTAAGGTGGTTGTCAGTCTGGCCATTATGTGTGGGCTGAATCTGGTGTGGAAGATTAGAGGAAAAGAATTGTTACCTTTCCCCTCACCTGGGGAGCATCTGATGGCCGAGTAAGTCTCCCCTCCAGGGAGAAGTGAGTATTAACAGGCTGAAAATATGATTGGAGTCTAGAGCTGTCCAGAGGGAATGCTGGGGCCCCTGATAGTGTTGTCATCCAGTTCCTTTTCAGATTTGGGAGGATATCCCTGCAGGAAAACCGTGAGCAGACTGTTGAGTAAGTGAAGGATGCCAGAGCTGTTTCCTGGCTGGTTCCTCTTGGTGGGATGACCTTCCTCCTCCTCTTGTCAGGATGACCCTCCTCCTCCTCTTGTCAGATGGAAGTCAGATGGCATTCCTAGGGTGCTGACAAGTGTTTGCATCTCTGCTGTACCCCTGGTGTGGCTCCTGTCTGCCTCCACTAAGATTGCCTCAGGACAGACAGCTTCCTTTTACCATGAGAGCTCACTTCACTGAGAGCGTGGTTGAAGGACTGGGATGTTCCTGGAATTATCTCAGACTCTAGCTCAAACCAAAAACTCAACCTGTAGGCTGGGTATGGTGGCTCATGCCTGTAATTACAGCATTTTGGGAGGCCGAGGTGGGAGGATCACTTCAGCCCAGGAGCTCAAGACCAACCTGGGTAACATAGACCCTCTCTATGTTTATAACCTGGGTAACATAGACCATCTCTATGTTTATATGATTTTAAAAAAGAAAAAACATTTTAGTCAAAAACCTACCCCTTGAACAGCCAGTGACAGAAAAACTTGTTCTCCCAGGCACAGGACCCTCTAGAACCTCTGGTAGCCTCAAAATGTACAAAGGTATTTTCTTTTGAGATGGACTCTTGTTCTGTCACCCAGGCTGGAGTGCAGTGGCATGATCTTAGCTCACTGCAGTATCCTCCTCCCAGGTTCAAGTGACTCTTGTGCTTCAGCCTCTTGAGTAGCTGGGATTACAGGCACATGCCACCATGCCCAGCTAATTTTTGGCATTTGTAGTAGAGACCAGGTTTTGCCATGTTGGCCAGGCTGGTCTTGAACTCCTGACCTGAAGTGATCCGCCTGCCTCAGCTTACCAATGGGCTGAGATTACAGGTGTGAACCACCACACCCAGCCTGCTTTGTTTTCTTATTGCAAGAAGCCGTCTTGGGCAGACTGAATTGTGCAGGGTGGTGAGCGGGGGTGTTGGTCAGTAAGGTTTGCTGGAGCTGCCACTGCACACAGTGAAGGCTGTCTTTTCCTGATTTGCACAGAATGCTCTGTAGCTTAGCAACAGCCCTTATGAAATGGCCTGGAATGGTTTTAAAGTGACTGTGCTTTTAAGGTGGAAATGTAACCACAATGCTCTATAGCCCTGTTTTATTTTACTTGACTTTGTAAAGATGGGGATCTTGCTATGCTGCCCAGGCTGTTTTTGAACTCCTGGGCTCAGGTGATCCTCCCATGTCAGCCTCCCAAAATGCTGGGATTATAGGCCCGAACTACCTCACCTCCCAGTCTATTCCAGTTTAATTTGTATGAGTTAGTCGTTTTCTTGTTTGCCAACAAAGACTCCTACATAGGGCCTGCCCCTCCCTTCCTACCAGCAACATCTGTTCTCTTTGTAACTTCCAGAATTATCTATTTAAAGAGGAAATCAAGTTGTGTTGCTTCCATGCTCAAAATCTCCAGTGGTTTCCATCTCATACAGCATAGCCCAAAGTCTCCATCATGACCTTCAGAGACCTACATGGTCTTGCCCTGGCTGCCTCTTTACCCTCATCTCCTTCCACTCTGCCCCTCATTTGAGGCCTCTAGTCACCGTTGGCCGCCTTGTAGTTTGTCAGGGGGGCCAAGCAGGCCCCCACTCAGGCCTCTGCCCTTGCTTTTTTCTGTCTAGGACTGTTCTTTATGGTAGTCATGCACCCACATGGCTCACTTCCTTGTGCTGCACAGGCATCTGCTCACACAGCCACAGCTCATCTGACACATGGCCCTCCAGCCCCTGTGCTACGTCCTCAGAGTGTTTTATTTTCCTCCCTGTGCTTAGCACTGTGTAATAGTACCTAGTTCTTCATGATCTGTCTCTTCCTCTGCATTGTTAGCTGCTATAGGAGGTGTTGCCTCTTTCATTTACTCCTGTTTTCCAAGAACCTAAAACAGTCCCTGGCCAGGGTAGGCTTCCAGTTATACAATGAATGCACAATTGACTTAGACTAGGTTAGTGGTATTGAAGACAGAAAGAAGTGAAACAGTTCCATAGATGTCCAGGAGATAAAGCCAGCAGGACTTGTATTTGATGTGGAAGATATACGAGATAGGGTTGTCAGGGATGCTTGCTTTGTTTCTGCTTTGTTCTGGGATGGCTGTTGTCATTCAATGAGATAGTAACACTGGAACGAGATTAGATTTGGAGAATGGTATGAATTTGATTTTCTTACTTTTCGGGGGAATTTTTTTTAGAAAAAGTTTTTGAGATAATAGTAGATTTATATGCAGTTGTGATAAGTAGTATAGAAAGATTCCACCTTATACTCGTTTCCAAAACCATAGTATAATATCACAACCAAAATATTGACATTGATACAGTGAAGACACAGAAAAATCCCTTCAGTCAGCACAGAGATCCCTCCTGGTATCCGTTTGTAGACACACCCATTTCCCTCTTGTTCACTGCCTCCTCTTTTCCTTAAGTCCTGAAAATCACTAATGTGTTCTCTATTCTATAATTTTATCATTTGAAGAATGTCACATACATGGAGTAATAAAATGTATATAACCTTTTGGGATTTTTTTCTTTTTGTCCCACCTAACATAATTCTCTGGAAGTTCATCTGTATAGTTCTATACATCAATACTTCATTACTTTTAATTGCTGAGTAATGAGTGTTCCATAGAGTATACCATAGTTTGTAAAGCCAT